GCATTTTTGTAAAAATATAACGTTGTAAAATTTAAAGCGTTAATAAAATTATATTTTAATAAGCTGAACTAGGTGATTGGGAGTGGAGATGCTTAGCACTTCAAAATTTACTCATATAATTATTTCAATATAAATTAAATTTTGAGCTCATTTAATATCAATTTAAAATTAATCCATAATAACAATGTACGTTGCACAGTAAAAGGTGTTACGTGACACGTACTATTAATGCTAATGCTAACACTATAACCTCAATATATATAAACTTATAAGACATTTTGTATTTTTTTTTCGTCAAGTTTTATATTGACCTAATTCATTGCTGATAATTCTAATTACAGGCCCTATTTAATCAAATTTAAAAGATAGTATGTATTTATTTAAAAACTTTGTAAATAATTATACATCTGAATTAAAATTTGCCAAAGAAAACTTAAGGCAAATTTTAAATACTTTATTAGTAATGTGTATGTATTATGTACGTAATAATAAAATAAAAATGAACTAGAATAAAAATAATTATTTTGCTATTTAATATTTTTTTTAAATAAAAATAGATGATGTATAAAGCTAAATAAAAATCTATTGAATTATTTTTTCAAAAAATGTAAAGGGGAAATTTTAACTCTCCTTTGTAATTTTTGACTAATGGCATCCCTGGATATTAGTTTAAAATAATAAAAGAGATATTTTAATATGATTGAAATTTATTACGTTTTTGTGTTTGAAATCATAATAAGACATTAATATATAATAATATATAAAACTAACTTCTATATTGAGTTATGAGTATGTATTTTTTTTTATTTTTTTATTTTATTTTTTTTTTTTTAATATTAGGCCAGTGAAAATTAATTACATTAGACTTTGTTGATGTGTGGTGATCTATTATTTTAATTGTCTGTACCTTGGATTCTGATTACGTATAGTTAAAGATGCAATGTAGAATATCCATGGAAAATCTTTATAGACTTAATATTATTATTAGAAGCATAGTATAATAAATGAATATGGAGTCATATTGATTTGTTTGTACTATACTTACGAAATCATCTATCATGGTATATCTACGTCAAATACAATTTATATTGTGATAGTGATTTTTTGATGCACTTTAACATACTCGAATTTTTAATATAACATTTTTTATTTAAAATACAAAGCAGCGGAGATTACTAATACAGTGCATACAATTTGATTATATAACGTCAATCGCACGACAAAAAAAAAAACATCAAAATCTAAAATTTATAAGAGTAAAAATTTACTGTTGGCCCACAATATTATTCTCTAGTAGCGTTTTCTGAATTGTTCGAGGTATAAGATAATTGAATACAATATAATATTATGGTCAAGAATCTATACATTTTCTAGCCACGAATTTTAGCAAATTTTAGTCGAACATAAGGTAGTATGTAAAAAATATAATTTAATGTAAGTACCGACCGTATTTAAAATGATGACATGATGCGATCGTTGAAAACGACTCGTCATAGTACATCGTATTGGCTACATAAATGTCATTAATATTGGAATGTCGTTATATTGTTATATTGTAGGAGAATACGTCGAGGTGTCGATCTATGCTAATTATCAGATTATAGTATGCAAGATTTCGAAAATGTTTATCTTGAAGGATAATCGATTCCACGAGTAACATTATAATAATACCCAATAAACATTATCGGTAGGCGTCAGTATATTTGATATTTATTTATGTAATTTTTTTTCGGTCAAATAAAATCAACCGATCAAAAGCTGTAAATGGTCTTCATAAGGGGGTGGTGGTCGGCAACGTGGAAGGGCCCGATAATTTAAAGCGTAATTTCCGGTTTGGTGGTTTTAACGTGTCCTGTCTGTGAAAATTCGCCGCTCGGAGCTCAATTCTTTCTCCCTTTCACCTACAGCTCACCTATCGTCGTCCGATATGTCTCGTCATCCGTAAAGGTGCACGTAAAATCAAAAATGCACAATCCATATTAATATTATAACAGCTACTATAGGTGCACTAGCTATGTGTGTATTGAACTTGTACACGTATTTGTATACATATATATATATATATTATCAGGGACGTGATATCGTACGCTTGACTGGCCGATTGCGATGACGTAAAATTATACGCTCTGAACCGCAATCGATGAAATATTATGTATATAAATGATAATATAAATATAGTTAAGTATAATATCATAACACTTTAGACGGGTCCTGTTAATTTAAATCGGATTCATGAAAGTCTGTTCTAGTAGAGTACAAATAAATATATATTATTTTCATTCATAATAATTACTGGCTGGTAGCCTATAATAATGTAAACAATTTAATAAAATATTCAAGATGGTAGATGTATAGTGTGTAAACCGACATAAATGTAAAAACTATATTTCTCAATATTGAAAGATAAACTCGTGCTATAATGTTATTTGCTTGTATATTACTAAATGTAAGCTAAAATATGGCTTTTAAATTCTTGCGGTATTAATTTCGATTCCTATCTACGAACCATTCGAGTGAAATCGTCGCTGCCACGTTCCATACGTACCATTCGTTCAAGTGTGAAACGGGCTTAATTAAACGAAATATTAGTTACCTACCGATAAACATTATTATAGATCTTTAAGTTAGTCTGTAAACGATTTTTTTTTTTTTTTTTTTTTTAAATTATCGATTTTTAGTTTTTCAATTTCAAAATAAATTTTGAATATTTTTAGATAAAAAATGTTATTTTTTTTTATTCCTAATGAGATTTTTAACAACTTTCATTCATATTTGAAAATGATTTAAAGTCCCGTCAATGGGTATAAATATGATAAGCGAATAAGCCGCCTACATTGAATATTCATCTAAACGATTTAAACGAACAAGATTTCTCAAAATTGAAAACGACGTTAATTAAATTTTAAATTGAAATTTTTAATATTAAACGAAATTTTGTCCGTATAATATCGTTAAAATACCGTCTGATGTATTGTGTACGATGTGTTTAAACCGTTTATTGTATGCATATAATATGATATAACTGAAACATATAATACAAACGTTTCGACACAACACAAAATGCTTACATGCAAATATGATTGAATAAAAATATAATTTTAATGAATCACAAATGTATAGCTATAATGTTTTTATGAAGAAAACTATATACCTATTTAATAATAATTATACGTATACGTCTATCGACCGTCATAAATAATTACATGTGATATGTTATTATAAAAGCTAACTTGAAACAAGTCTTAAATTGAGGTTTGAAAAAAAAATTGATCTAAAAATAAACTAAGAAAAAAGAAAAACTACATTATTATAATAATTATGGTGATAATTTTATCAGTTGTGTATGATTAAGTACTATACGTACATATTTTATGGGAAATAAAAAAGTCTATATACTAATTTACTTCCACAACGAAATGCTATGTATTTTTATTAAATTCAAACAACTAGGAATTGTCTCATGACCAGTTTGATAAATTAATTTTAAAATATATTTTCAGTCCCGTGGTGGAAATCGGTCGATATGTACAAGATCTGTGCTTTCTTGTTTCTAAATTGAATTTGCCAAAATTTTGGCGAAATCGAGATAAAAATTAATAGTAAAAGTGTTAGAGTTACATTTTTCCCATCCGTTATTTATACTATTACTTAGCTTCATACTATTTTAAGCTTACTATACAAATACACAAACGTAATAGACGTTTCTTTCTATTTTATTGTAATATATCATTTCGGTATCATAGTACTATTACAGAACTGTTATAAAATGAGTATCCTTAACTGAGATCATCGTCCAGCGATTTTGTTAAAATAAAAAAAAGTACAGTAGTTGATTATGCTTACATAAAGATGCAAAACTATTACCAATTTTAATCAGTAATCTGGCAATTGACAAAAATTGAACAACCATATTCAAATAACTACAAAATTGAATTGCTCACTTCACTGATTCTATACGTAACAACACAAAAATATTAAGGATTCAAATAAAGATTTATTTTCTATTTATTAATAAAAAAATTGTCTTTATATTCTCACAAACGCTAATTTATAGTGATCTAGCTCACATCCAAGTTAAAATTCATAAAAAAAAAAAAAAAATCGTTTCCAGCATAATTTATTTTAAATAGATTAATATTAAATAGTTATAATATAATTTACTAAAAATACAATTAAAATAGTATGTGTTTCCGATAGGATATTTTTATACACAAATAAGGATACAAATGAATAATTTTCTAAGATTATTCAGAAGGCGGTCTTTTATTTTTTGATTAAATATAATATATATTTCCAAGAAAATATATTTTAAATTATTGCGTTCTGTGAAATTATTTTCCAACGAAATACAATTATCTGCCTAGATTTATCCAATCTGGAGCATACAGAATTTCGGGAATTTCGGATTTTTGAAATACGAACAGGCCGAACAATTTTTCATCGTTTATTGTTGAACATGACAAATCGTGAAACATTATTCAACCAATGCGGACGCGCGTGATGAATATTATAATTTATAATAAGATATAGTACGTTTTTGAGTTAGCTTTATTTTTCATGACCGATTCTATTACACAATATACAAACATGAGCAAGTTAATGAAAACAATTGACTGAACTTAAGTAGTGAAATTAAGTAGATATACGATCATTAGCCTAAAAAGGTATTTTATCAAGAAACTTACTAAGATATTAAGACTTACTAACTATTATTAGAGATAATATTATCACTATTAATAGTCTTAAATTATTTTTGTTTAACACTCTGTATACACGATATAATTAACAGATGTATAAAATTATTAAAATAAAATACTTTAATTTTAACTCGATGGATTATTTTTGAAAAAAATTCAACTAGACACTTATTGAAAAAAAAAAATATGAAAAATATAAATTATCTGTTAGTAAAGGTAAGAAGTTAAAAATTTTATTTAATCTTTCTAATTATTTAATTTATATCTTATAAAATAATAATAAATTGTTCATTTTCATTATACCTGTAATAGTAATGATAGAACGACTATGCCATGTGATCTCTGCACCGCATCCGAGTAGTTGGCGAACAGCTGCGAGTTGAAACTGAATATCTGAAGCTGTAAGTAAAATAAAATAAAATACTGATATGAAATTACGATTGCGATAATAATGTATTACAATGTATAATATAATATATGTCGTATAAAAGCAATGGCTATAATATGTCGTCGGACGGAATCGATTCCATTCGTTCTTTAAATCGTTAAACTTTATTATACCACGCCCAATTTAGTGTTCTATCAAAAAGTATTAAATAAATAATCACGAAACTTTTTTTCGCGCCCTACACATTTTCACAAACAGTTTTTGCGTGACGTGAAATTAAAAAAAAAAATAAATAAAAGTTCGGAAACCACCGTGTTCTATAAGCTGTGCTTTGAACTTGGACAAAAGCACACGATTGCGGGCTTTGCGTTAAAACGTGTACAGCCGCGTTAAGCACAAACTATACGTGTGTGCTGTGAAAGAGAAAGAGATTAGAAGTCACGAAGCTGAATCGTCACAGACCAGACGAATAAAGTATAATATGACATTATAATATATTATTATTGTTATCTCTATTTTCACCACGTCTCACAGCAGGATATTTTCATGAGAATCCGGCCAATATTATATTTACAACGACGTTTATTTTGATGGTATAATATCTAAAATACGTCATGTTCTTAGTGTAACTGCTGTTGGTATTACATATTTGGTCACCGCAGTACTTTAAATTAATATACAATTACTACTGAGAACTCGTTGTGGTTGTAAAACCACGAGCGTGAATGGGTTTGTAAGAATTTTATAAATATTTTGTTTCTCATATATGCGCGGTCTCTGTCTGAAGAAAATGAGTAGTCGTAAAGAAGTACGTGCATAGCTAAGCATAATATTGTAATATTATTTCGTTGATTCAAGTATACGGTTCTGTCAATTCCAAAATGTAAGTTTAACGATCATCACTTGAACATCGCGACATAAATGTAAATACATTATTTTAAACGAAAAGGCAGTAATAACTAATAAGCATGTACGTTCTTTTGGTATTTCACTAATATATTATAATGATTGTAAAATGTTTGTGGGAGATGTGTACATTATTCTATAGCCTACTATCTATTAGATTTAATTTTCATCTAATTTGATTCTTTTATAGTATATATATTGATCACGTGTGTCTTTCTGCAGTTGTTTTATAATATATTGTTCATTTTTGTTGTAAACTTCCAAGGATAACCGTATATTTGAAACAAGCGTATTATAAATATATTTTGTAATATTTATTTTGTTATCTTGATACATACTTGTTAACCATTATATTTTATCTAGATAAAATTTAAATAAATTATTTAAAGTATTTTCAAAATCATTTTTTATTATTATTGTTTAACACTACTATAATACATATAGTCAATACAATACACTAGATAGTATATTTTATGCATCAAACACGTACAACATGTATTAAATGCATTACAAATCATTAGAATAGGTATTTGTTTTGTAAGTAATTAAATATTTCAAAAATATAATGTATATCGTGAGTTAAGCTGAACGGTGAACAAAATATGTTCTTTGATAACGTTATAGTGTATTGGCTGTTTTGAGCAAAGAACGTAATACTTATAAATTCTATAAGATTTTCTGCAGGTATAGTAGCTTATTATAATTTAATAATAATATAACACATGCTACTTATAATATTATAACAGTATATTATATCGTTAAGCTTATTTGAAACACGAATGCAATTTTACCAACGTGTGTATAAGTTTAAACCGAGAGCGTGTAATAATAGTAGGCACTTGGTATAAATTATTTGTTATTAAACTGCACATTTAAATTTTTTCTCGTTCCAATAAGTTTGACGAACCATATTACTCGTATAGAAAATACAATTTTACCATTCAAAATTCAAGAAATATTATACAATGTCTGGCTGTTAATTTGCGGCACATGGAAGGTATTTAAAATACTTTGTGGCTTATATCATATATTATTTTCAAATATTAATTTTCAAGTTATATTAACACATTTTGATGAAACAATTATTTTATTTTTCGGTTACCCATTATAAATATGCATTTATTTTTATTTTTATTTTTTTAATACGAAATTCAGAAACAAACTATGTCCAACTATAATAACCCAAAATACTTATCGTTCCGCTTGAAAACATTTTAATATCAAGATATCTGATTTAAATGATACAATTATAAATATAACTGTTTATTTGTTTTTTTTTTTTTACAACGATTTTGTAAAATACTGAAAAATTCTACATTTTACTTTTTCAATAATTAACTAAATCCTATTTTCTACTTGAAACCACACAAGAAGTCCAAAAATTAAAGCATATTTTCTCTCGTAAGAAGTGTAAACAGATAAAAAAAATATAATAGGTTATAATAGTAATAATAATAATAATAATAATAATAATAATAAAGACAAATACACTTCATTTTAAAACCGATAGATTCATCGCTCCACTAAGAATCTAAAAACTGTATAATCATTAAAAGTTTTGTTGGTACACGTAAATTAATATTTATTGTTGCGTGAGATTCAAATTGACAACTATAGAATAGTCTATTCTATTGAATGTTACACGGTAAATATAGATTTTTGAGCAAAGCATCGTACGTCAAATATAGTGTGATTATCGCACTGATAAATGCAAAAACGTGCTCGTAAATTCAGTGTTGATTTATATACCTCTGCCGGAAACGAATAACCATTGATCGAATGTTCGGAGCCCATTTCGTCCTGCTGTCCGTAATGTATGTGTATCTCATACACTTGATATTTGTACGATAGCGGTCCACCGGTGATGTTTATGTGGTTCTTGGTACCGTTTTCTAGATAGAACATAACACTGTGACCGGTATTGCATATCATACCATCTACCTGTAACGATACAAAAAATTATAAATAATTTACAGTAGTTAGTACACCGGAGACAGGATATTTATATTTTATATAATCTATCTGCCTATATTTATTAATATTTTTTTCTTTTTACTTTTTCCTCTATGAACTCGTAAATTACTGAAACGTTTTCAATAAAAACTGTATAAATAGATTTCTCAAAACTCGAGGAGGGATTTGTTTTTCAACCTACAGTTTAAACCTTACAATTCACTATAGGGTGACTCTTTTGTTTCGGCTTTCGAATCGAAGAATATTTTTTATTTACGCATATCGTTATTGCCATTGGTTATAGATAATAAAATAATTATAATAATTATTTATTAAATATAATTATCTGCATTGTATTATATTTATTTTTTATTTAGACTAATATAGCAATTTTATATAAATGCAAAATCAAATAACAGTTAACATTATATTAAGTGACAAAGTTTATGTGTTAATTTACTTATTTACTTGATCAGTTTTCAAAAAAAAAAAAAAAAAAAATGGTTTAAAATATTTCAACTGAAATAAAATGGAAACAATAGATAAATATAATATAGTATGTAATTGGTTGATATAATATTTAAATAACGTATAAGCAACAGCTGCCTTAAAAGCTGAAATGAGGTTATAATCGTGTTGTGATAGTGAAAAAAAATGTATCAAAATAAAACGCAGCTGTAAAAAAAAAGATTTTTTTGAAATACTATAGATATTTTTAGAGCATAATACAATTAATATTTAATATTTAATTTTATTATTTATCCAAATTTTTTAACTCTGCTTAGATGCTTAGAGTTTTTAACGATCATCTAAATACTTAAAAATCAAAAAAATTTTATATCTATATAAACAATGTGGATCGGTAAATCTTAAAATTTACTGATAATTGTTGACTATACACTATTCTTGGACTTTCATTGTAAAATTCTATACATTGTATTATACAAATAATAACGGCACGTTTTGTATAAAATATAACTTTTATACTGTAAACTGAGTGTCAGCGACGTATAATTTAGTCGAAAGTTCAGTTGTTTAATGGCATGACATTTTCCTTCTTACAATAAAACGAAAAAGAAAATGGTTATAATCATACATAATTTAATATTTTTGATCAACAATTGATGTGTAAATTTTCTCAAAAAAATATGTATAGGAAAAACTAATAAATCCCCATATATTGGCCACTGATTAATTCATCCAATAAACTGATGTATAAAAATATTACTTAATGCATTCTGTAGGCAACAAACAATTCTATAATTACAGGGAATAACTTTGTAAAATTTATGAATAAAAATTCATTAAAAATTGTTATGAATTTATGAATTTAGCTTTTAATTGTAATATATCGATTGAGTTGGGTTACAGTATGAAAAATAAAAATAATAAGTTAGTTTTATGTATTGATTTATTTATTGTTATAAAAATCTATATTTCGAATTCTTTATATATATATATATTTTTAAATTGGTTATGTGTCATTATAGTCCGAGAAAATATTACCAAGTATTATTTTTATTTTTTTATTTAAATAAAAAAATACCAAATATTTAAAAATGTTGAATTTGAATAGGTATAATTGAAGTCTATGTTGGACCTTAACGTCAAATTATTTAAAATTTTACGATATCAAATGAATTATGAGTTATAGTATTTTAAATGATTGATTGTCTGGTATAATGAACGGAATTAAAATATATTTTTTCTTGTTTATATAAAGTTTGTTTAGTATTTTTATAATTATGTCAACAAATTAATAACTATTTATAATTATATATATTTACAAACCTTAGAAACTTTTCCGCTTATACAGGAAAGTTACGAAAGTGTCACTTAAACTAAATGGACTTTTTACAATGAGTAATAAATTGTAATAGCAGTAACAGTTACAAAAAAATAAAAAAATAAATAAAATGAACGCAAAAAGCTTTGTTGAAATTTATATACGAAATGGTATGACGTGTATATTGATGGATTTCGAAAAAAGGCTAATACGTTATTTTAGAATATTTCGATATATGGGAATTATCAAACGATGTAGTTAAATTATAAAATATTCTGTAAATCAAATTATCAGTAAAAAATACAAAAAATACACTTGATTGAACAAATTATATTGGTAGTATATGCGAACAAAAATATTGTTTTGGATTAAAAAATTAGATTGCGGCTTTGTCATTAATAGATTTATTGAATTTTATTTTTAGTAAACAATTAATATCAATTTAATTTTCATCACTATTCATAAGATTAAAGACATTTGAAATGGTATTTTTTTTGTTCTAAACATTGATCAATATAACTATTAAATATTATCAATTAATTTTATCTAACTCAAAGATTATTTCCAAATATAAGCATAGTAAAATCGTATCTAAATATATTAAATTGTTTCCTTTACACACATGTTTAAAGACATTTTATAGTGTTTTTTAGGCATTGCGAAGATAATGTTTTTTATTGTTAAACTTACTAATATATCTGGTATAAAAAAACTCACCCGTTGCCTGTCCACGTGCAATTCAGTCAAGTTAGGATCATAGAGCAATTTTTCTGGGTCTAAGTTTACGGGTGACTGTCGTCGGCCTTTGTTGCAAAGGCTCCATTCGGGATTTATCAGGCCCCAGAACGCCGGTCCTGGAAAACACACATATCACATTATAAATATATTTATTGTATACACTTGCATAATATATTGTGTATGAACTGAAACTGATTATACAATTTGGAGACCGAAGTGTGCACATAAGTGTACGTTAATAGCGTAGGTATATAATTTTAACTATACAAAGTGGTTCTTCCCTGTCATCCTATCCTGTAGGTTCATTTGCTTCAACTCGTAAGACGTATGTCTTTGTATTTTTAAGCGGGTTAATTAGTTTTAGTTTCGAAACAAATTCTCAGCGCAATACATAATATACTATAAAATATACTCGGGGACGATTTAGAATAGGTACACAGGACATTGTGTACTTACGATGTATTATTACCAAGTAAGCAACATTTTTCAAAAGCCCCTAATTCAAAAATCATACTTAATTAATAATAAATACACTTAAATAACCATTAAACGGTATTTTATCTAACTTATAACGTACATACCACATATACAATATTGTTGAAATAATAAACAACTAATAGTGGTATTCAAACATTATAAGCACGATTATACGCACACTTTATTATTATATTTTATAGTTTACCATCTATAATTAGTGATTACTAATTATTTAGTTTCAATATTTTTTACATAGATTTAGGCATGCATATATAACGTCCAAGGTAGCATATATGTAAATTGGACTTAGATTTGTACGTATAGTTACTCGCTGACAAAACGTTATAGATACTCTGTGGTTTTTAGTTTCTGGAGTAGTCTAATTTCACATTACATAATTTATTCTAAAATAATAATTATATTAGAGTATGTTTATAATCAAATAATTTGTTTTATTAGATCTTGATTAAAGTCATAAATTTATTTAAGTTTACTTCAATTTTAATAAATACATTTACACCAAGCATTATTAAGATATTGTAAATGTCTTAAATAACTTGGCAAAAAGTTCAAAAAAATTTTAAGCACATTTAAATTATAATTAAATAATGGTTTAATGTTTCAACTAAAATCAATTGTAAACACATTTATAATTATAACATTTAGTCATTAAATACTTAAATAATATGTCAGCTTTTATTCAGATAAAATGCATAAGTAAACTGCTGATATGATTTTTCACTAGAAATATAATTATATATTATATTTTGAACAAAAACTAAAACAGCATCATGTATATGTCTCATCAGTAGATGGTAGGTCTGAGCGAAAGACACACAAAAAAAAAAAAAAATAAAACAAAATAGTTTATTTTATTATACAATTTATATGTTCATTATTTGTTTGGTTGAAATTAATTTTGCTAACAATATTGAATATAATATACTCTATTAAAATTGTTGTTTAATTTTTTTATTCAGTATTAGCGTATCGTGAAAATATTTTTGCAGTATAAATGAAAACTCTTAAATACATTTATAAATAAATTCCTTACATGAATTTCACAGGAAAAATTGATATATAAATGGAATATATCAGTAACCTCTCCAGGAAAGTTTGAGATTCTTAATAAACTGAAAACAGGAATATAATAGGAAGTAAATAGACCATAATGGTCTATGTTTAATATTAGGGCCAGTTGATTCTTAGTGAGCAGTTATGTGAAAAGTCTTAAATCGGATGTTCACGGATCCTACATTATGGTCCGGGATTTAAACAGGTACTTTCTAATAAGAGTTATAAAGTCTGGAAATTGGGTCCTGAGATCTTCCTGAGAGAGTTTACGAGTTGTTAAGAAACTCGAGTTAAAATAATTTTAAATATTTTTCAAATGTCTTTGAGTGATTTATATTTATGTACCTACATACGTAAAATAATGCGTTATGGCGAAAAAGTGGAAAGTTCGGGCGTCTGTGATTAATATAAAATAATCAAAAGGAAAATAAAACTGACACCGAATTTTCCAAACGACTACGTGCACCGGGCCGTCGCAATTCCATCACTCTTCCTCTCCGCACCGCCACCAATCGATAACGTCCAAATCCCGCAGGACGGATCTACCCTTGTTGCAATTCCTGGTGCAGTAAGTGTACATACAACCGACGAAGTCCAAAAATGTGACGTAATAATAATATTATAGCGCGTATACCGCCATAATAATTTAATAAACGCGTAGTGCGTGCGGTCGGGGATTCGAAATCCGTGTCGCGAATCGTTCGCGAAACTCTACGCGCTTTGTTGCTGGGCCGCAGGCCGCAGCGTACAAAATTAGTGTCACGGTTTAAAAAAAAAAAAAAGATAAAAATAAACAAAAACGTCGACGATCCCCGGATTAGGCTCTATATCATATAAACGCTACACGTGTGTGTATTTGTATATATGTAATACCGTTGCAGTGGGATTAACCAGCCCGCCAGCCGCAGACCATATATATATATATATATTATATATGTATGCTTGACTCTGCGCGAGTCGGTGTGACACGCAATTTAATGCGTACATGAATTAAATTCTAGTCATTTCGACCGGCGTTTAATCGGTTCGAACACGCCGGTGGGTGCTTATATTATTATATTATTATTGTTTTTCTACTTCGTGCGCATTTGTTTGCTTGTTGTTACAACAACAACCTAACCTAACCCAAGATAACCGTCACTAGGACGTATTATTTGATGTGCACTTTTTTTATAGGTTTTAAATAAAACTTTATTTGTTTTTCCTTTTTTCCGAATTCGTCTATGAGTTTTGAACACTTCCTTGTACGCGTTTACCAGTTTGACTTGGATTTCGAACGCGGGCATTTGTTTTCAACGATTGCTATTTTGGCGTTTATCGTTTTCCCACAAAAATTTGATGCATGTGGACAATTAATTTGACGAGTTTTTCCTGATAATTGTTACTCGGGATTTTATCGAAGTATGAAAATAAAAAATGTCCACCCGTTAACGTTATTATTAAATGATGTCTTACAACTCAAATAAGTGTACTAAAAATAATAAACATTTTTCTTTTAGACTCACGATTATTCGAGCGATAGGACAACGATGGTTTAACTAGAAATAAAATACCATATCCAACTGACCAATTAATCGTTAATCGTCAAAACTGATTGTATGAGCTAATCATCTGATAACCGCTAAAGATAAATAAATATATTACTGCGTGTATGTATAGAACGTTTGATATTTGGTATGCACATAATACATAAAACATCTAAACATTATAAAAGCTAATGTTATAACAACAATGATCGTTGATGAAATATTTTGATTTTTCTAAATATTTAAAAAAATATTTAATCTAATATTTAAATTATTTCAGTTTGGAATCCCGGTTATTTATACTTTGAAATTTCGATTTTGGTTTCGAATATCAGTATTTATTTATTTAGTTACATTGGGGTTTTAATATTTAATACCAGATTCAAGCTTTGAACTGATTACACATAATATAAAATAAATAGTAATATTTGATCGGGAAAAATTACTTTATTCTAGAACGAATTTCAGGAACATTAAATTATATTAGCATTATAATATATCTGATCGTAAATCGTGTAAAATTTGTTTTGTGATTTTTACAAATTTTTATTTTAGTATTTTTATATGTTTTTTATCACATGGCTTTTAAAAAAATATATTATATTGATGTTATTTACAACTATGCAATATGCATGTAACGAATATGTAAATGCATGAAATATTACGTACCTATAACAAGCAATCACTATCTTCATACTACAGGAATAAAATATTAGGGTTACTACACTTCATATTATACATCGCCTTAATCACTACTTCATGAGAAATACAGATGCTAAAAGAAACAAAGTAACAAAGGTGTCCGTTTCGTAACTGTATGTCTGTATATAAATGTCATGCAGTTCATATTTATTATAATTAAATTCATTAATGATATTTAATAAGCGCATATATATTATAATCTGGTATTTATATTTCTAAGAGTGAACTTTAGAAAGAGAAAAAAAAATTTAACGGAACACGAAAGGTATTCCAGTTAAGAGCAGAAAAGTAGCGAGATTATAAAACGTATTACTTTTTTAACGAACTTTTATTCAAAATGACGTATTCTTTGTTTAAATCAATGAAATCAATATTTGTCTCGTAATAAAAGAAAGAAAAAAAACAGTTCAAACGTTCAAAAATGTCTCTTGCGCCCTATTCAAAGACGCCTTTACAACGCGCTGGGAATTATGATGGCTTGTGTCACGCTGCCCCATCGGCTCTAAGAAAAAGGCTTGTAATCAATAGATTAATTTGTCTATCTTTAATATGTATCTAAAGCTAAATCTCTGTACCTAAATAATATAACAGCGTATTAAAAAAAAATTTTTTTTAGTTATCATGGAATTTATTAAAATTTTATATTTCGATAAACAAGTACAATAAATGGTTATTATTTTTTTTTTTTAAATAATGCGGATTCTAGTGGTGTATTTTTCTAGAGCACAAAGTTTACTTTGTATTCAGACAACTTAAATAATCGCAAAACTCTCTATCAATAAATAATAATAATATGCTTAGATTATACATTTTTATGAAATAACAACTATGGGTACTGTAAAGAATTTAAATATATAGAACTAAAAAAAAAAAAAAATGAGCAAACTGTATACAATATCACAAAGTATAAGGTATATTTATTTAATTCTTTTAAAATGGTTCAAGTTAAGAAAAAAAGACCTCAATGAAATCGCTGTTCTATATATAGATAAATTTAAAGTATACCTCGTTATTAAATATTAAGTAGGTTAACGTAATGGATGCATGGGCGAATTGGATATGTGGTGACCCATGGGCGGAATTTATTGTGGAGGACTAAAATAAATAGACAGAATAATACACTTTTTTATAATCTAAATCATTTAATATTTTTGATATGCTGCTTATTTAATTTACTTAGTAATAAAATAAAATACTGAGAGTTTGAGACTTATATTAATAATAAAAATAATAATTTTAATCTATTTTGATGTATTTTAAATTAGAGAATGATTTTTCACTACTGCAGTTAGTTATTATAAGAACAAAATAAATGCGAAGAACTATTTTAACATTAG